GGAGTGGGGGGGGGGGGGCAGTCATATCAAGAATCCTGTTTGGGGTCCCTTGATTGGAAATAATCTCTCACACTACCTCTCACTTCAAGATCTTTATGTAAAACGGAGCTTTGAGAAAAGCAGAGAATTGGTGCATATCAGCTGAAATGCAGATACTCCACTATGTTCAGTTTATTTTATTGTATTAAATATTAGTACATTAAAATCTACAAACTATAAGACCCCACAGCTTGGCCTATGTGCTCTTCAGCCAGAATATTATGAGCACACAACTGAGCAGAATTCTGCTTGTTTACTTTCCCTTATCTTCATAAGAAAAATGGCTTAGATGTTGCTTTTTAAAAATGAAAGCTAAACATTCAAGGAGAGGAATATTTATGAAGCCACATCCAGACATTCCCTATAGGCTTGAAAGCATATTGATGGCTCTCTTGAGGTGGCAGAACCTTGACTAATCCCAGTATGTTTAGACAAGCCATGGAAGTGATTTTACTTATTAGTATTATAATCAAAATTCTTAATAAAAATATTTTTTTAAAAAATAATTTTACTTAGAGTTGAAGACCATTTCCTTGATCTAGCAAGAGATTCTTGCATGCAGGCAGTCTTCCAGACACAGAACTGAATGAGAATCCAAAACATCCGGTGTAGTGAATAAGACATTTTGGAAAGCATTATTTCAGGAGCACATCTAGAAAAGTTCTTATTCAAAACATACATAATTTGTGCACCAAAGGTTTCTCTTCATTGTTTCAGTACTGAGGCATTCTCCTGAAATTTAATATTTAGATTAGGCTTCACTTAGCTCCAGCAATTAGCTTTGCTTCATGCGATGTCTAAGTTTATGGCCTGGCAGCTTACATACTAAAACAGCTAAATGATTTGTACAAAATTATCCTTCAGGGGGCCTACCATAAAGAGGTAAGTTTCCTCTTTATGTAATTTAGATTTAAATTATTACCATATTTGTCTGGCAGTATGATACATGCATATATATTACATATATACTGATTTTGTTGATTTTTGGTGGGGAGTTCTTTTGTGACAAGATAGTACTTTACAAGATTTTCATATTGTACAGGCTTATAACTGAAAGAAAAGCATCAAGAAGGCTTTTCTTCTACTCAGCTACCATGACAAGCCCTAAATTCAAGACGTCAAGCAGCTTTTTTAAAGAAATACTATGACCCTCTAGGGCAGCACCACAATGAAGTTCTCAAAATAACAGCCTTTCCTGAATCTGTCCTCAAGCAACCAGGTATCTTTCAGCTGAGCTGGGAACATCTACTTATACAAAAGAATCTTTATTTACAGATATAAACATGAATGGTGAAGGGGAAAGAGGGTTGCATCAAGCAGGTTGCAAGTTTGTAGAGCCCCAAGTTTTGATACAACATAGCTTGGAGATGGGAAATAGACAGCCCAAGCTTGTGACACCAGCACACAAAGCAAGATGAGTTTAGGCCCGTTCAAAAGTTATTCAATGTCATTCAGTAGCTGCAATTCAAAGACCTGCAGGTGTTCCTTAAGCCGTCGATGTGCATCAGTGTTGTATGGCCGCCGTTCACGCTGCAACTCACAGATGCGCAGGCGGAGTCTCTGTTCACGGCGCCGGCAGGCCTGCAGCTGCCGTTGTGCTTTTCCCAGAGCGTCGAGCGCTGCCTCGGCCCGCCTCTTCCAGAGCAAGGCACTACCCACCTGGTAGCTGTGCTCATTCTGGATGTAGGCACCAGCTGGGGGTGGGAGCCGCAGCATGTAGAGGGAGAGAGAAACAGGTTGAGATGGATTCCCCACAGGTTCTGGGAGAGCTGGAGAAGGAGAGGCTTCTTCTTGGCCTGTAGCAGCTGGTGACTGTTCCAGAGATATGTCTGACAGAGTGGCCAAACTCTCTGGTTCTGACCCTGAGAGGTTGGGCTGGCTTCGAGGCTCACCGCTAGTGGGAGCAGCCCCAGGACTTGGCAGCTCTTGCACAGGGAAACAGGAAATGTCCATACACAATGGAGTTGTCTCCTCTGCGGGGCAGGGGCCACAGCTGTGAAAAAGGATAGAATCTGGGTCAGGTGAGAAGTAACAGCTGCATAAGCTGTGATGCAGAGTAACCATCTGGGAAAAACATGATTGCAGATGCTGGAAGCCCATATAGGACATATTCTTCCTAAAGTCTGTAAGAAGCCAATATGGAGAGAGGCTTGGCCATGGGAAAACAAGGAACTTTCTAGGCAGCCCTGAGTAAGTAACTCTCATAACATACTGTTGCAAGAATATAAAAAGATGGGGATACACATCACAGAAGAAATAAATGATCCGATTAAGCCATTACATTATATTTTGGGACTGATGTTTTCCACATTTAATATTCTTAGCTTCATCCATATCTTTTCCCTTGGTCCCAATCTCAGATCGCACAGTTCCATTCTATAACACACAAAATTCCTTTTAAATTTACTATTAATCCAGTAATGGATTAAGAGATTATGCTATTAATGTTATACTATTTATCAAGAAGTAAGCATCACTGAATGTACTGTGACACACTTCCAAATAAATATGCACAGGATTACAGAGAACATAAGATCTGAAAAACAGGACTCACCTCTGCTTCTGCTGATGTTTTGCAAGTTTGGAACTGTTTAGCTTTGATTTCCGGCGTGGCTTTGCATGAAGCTCAAATATTGTAGGAACAGCACCTTCCTTGAGACGATGATAACCGCTACAAAGGAAACAACCCACATACATGCAAACTGTTACTGGTTGCAGAAAGCCCAGTACTTGGACTGTGGATTGCTGGATAAGAAGGCAGGTCTTCTGAGAGCCACAGGACCTTGGATATTAGCCAGTTACAGGTAGTCCTCGCTTAACGACCATTCACTTAGTGATCATTACGATTGGTCCTCACACTTACGACCGTTGCAGCGGTCTCCCGCATTCATGCAATCCAGGTGCTTGGCAACCAGCTCACACTTATGACAGTTGCAGCGTCCTGCGGTCATGTGATCACCACTTCTGACCTTCCCAGCTGGCTTCTGGCAAGCAAAATCAACGGGGAACCATGTGATTCATTTAACCACCACCCCGCTCAGTGATGAATTTTCTGGTCCTTATTGTGGTCGTTAAACAAGGATTACCTGTACATTCTGTTTTAAGTATTATTTGTCCAGTTTTTTTGTGTACAGATTAAGTAAACAAACTAATTAATTTTGGCCACATATATTTAGCCCTTTCCCTTAGAGATAATTCTGTTTGGCCTCTATAACACAGAACTCTTGTTCTGAAATAATGTCTACCAAATTAAGCCTATTATCTGTTCTGGCAATACCATTTAGTACAACTACCCAAGATCTTTTCAAGATCTCCCTCACACTTATTATTTGGGGAAATGGAGTTACTAGGGCAGGAGAAGAGTCCAGATTTAATGTGATACACGAGTCTGTAGCTGGTCACCCTAAGGATTTGCCGCTCTTGCTGTAGGAAAAAAAAATCCTCTTGATTTCCAGCTGGAGTCATCACATTCTAAATTTTCAGAATTTAACTCATACTGGTATTCTGCCCTTTTCACTCCTGGCAAAATATTTTAAACTGAAAACTGGTCATCCTTAACAAACCAAACTGGTTTCCAAGCTTTCAACATTTTTTTTTTTTTAAGTAGCCCTCAGATCACTTTGACTTCCCTTCCCTAGCCTCACTCCCTGCTGTCTTAGCAGGTAGAAGCATGCAGCTCACCTTTTCTGGGCCTGGAAGCTAAGCAGGGTCAGGTCTGGTTAGTACTGGGATGGGGGATTATGAGAGAACCACCAGGACTGTAGTTTAGATGGAGAAATCAAAACATGTCCTAGAAAGGGCAATGGTAAACCACTTCCATACTGCTGCCAAGAAAATTACATGGATGTGCCTATAAAAATTACCAGAGGTTGAGCTTGACTTGAAAGAGACTTTTAGCTTTTCAGCTAAAAGGCTGAAAAAAGGCATCTCAAAGGTAGGTAAACCTTTTGGGTGTGTGGACACATTTGGAATGCTCATATCGTGTTTGTGGCTGTTTTCACAAAGTGACTGTAGCAAAACTGATGAGACTGATACCTATTGCCTCTCCAGCTTTGTCTTTTCTCTGGGCAGGAAAGTAGGGAAGCATTCGTAGAGAAAGCACTGGGCTTTGCCATCCACACTTAAAAAGGTTTATGGCTGGTTCCTAGCCCGATGCAGCAAGGTAGTTTCCCATATTCATAGTATTTTTAAAAATAAAGTCAGATGGAACAGGTATCCTAGCAGGAACATTCCTCTCCATAGGAAAGATATTGTCTACCTTGATGTTCATTACTGTCCAGTTGCGAACTGTCTACTTTAATTCTGCATGCCCTTTCATGTTTTTTAACTATCTTAATAACCTACCTGGTGCCCACCAGTTCAAAGCAATTCTTCTCAAAGTGCTTGGAGCAAAAGTAAACATATTTGGAGGCAGGGTCCCAAAGACCCTGCCCACTCAAGTCCTTCCGCCGACAATTCTCCAACCATGTGGTTCGCCGGGGGTTGTCCTTTGGCAGTCTGTGAGAACAGATATTGATTAATTCATTGGAGATCAGAGGTCCCATGCAATATTATGGATATCTTCTTCCCAAGCTCAAGTAAAATAGCCTTGATGGTAGTGTGACTGCCTCTCAAGGCCATCTACTGGGAGACTAGTGGACAGTTGTGCACTGTGAGAACAGACTGCTGGATTAAATGGGCCTGGGGACTGATCCAGCAGGGCACAGCTTATGTTCTTACATCTTTTAAAAACACTGATCCTACAAAGCTTGTTTTTACGATGCTAGGATATCATATGACGCTGCAACTATAGCAGACTAATCCTACCCAGCCTCAGCTCAATATGGGAGTGGGAGTCTAGGAGGGCAAAGAATGAAATCACTCCTCACCGATGGAAAGAAATGCCTCGATTGCGTGTTTCAGGTGTATCACGGGTGCAACAGCCAGTAGCAGAGCAGTGGCGGGGCATCTGCAAGAGAAAAAAAACATGTAACTCCCACTATCCTGAGGATTAAGCCATACATTTCTTCTTAAGAAGAAGAGATAAGACTAGAAGCCTCCAGAACCGGGCTGTGTTACACCAAAGAAGTCCTAATATTTAGTACCAACAACTGTTGAAAGCAGGACTATATGTAGTTTTGCAGAATGGTTTAGAGCTAAATTTTAACACTTTGAGATAAGCAGCTGGGCAGGATAATGAAATCACAGCCTATTAACTAGCTACTGGAAGTATTGTTCATCCATTATTTTGGCTTGCAAAATATACCAGTAAATTGCACAAATGTTCACATCTACCTTCTCAAAATATCTATGAAACCAAGGCTCTGAGAAAGGTGAATATTTTGACTCATGATACGTTCCACAAATTTAGGGGTATTTCCAATAAAAGTAGAGAGTCAGTTTGGTGTAGTGGTTAAGGCATCAAGCTAGAAACTGGGAGACTGTGAGTTCTAGTCCACTGGGTGACCTTGGGCAAGTCATTTCCTCTCAGCCCTAGGAAGGAGGCAATGGCAAACCATTTCTGAAAAACCTTGCCAAGAAAACTGCAGGGACTTGTCCAGGCAGTCTCCAAGAATCAAACACAACTGAACAAATTAAAAAAAAACAAAACCCCACAACAATAAAAGTAAATTAAGAGAAGAATTCCTATTTTTTTCGGGGGCTTGGCAACTCCATTATATGCAATGCCAGATTAATGTATGGAAATCATTCCTGGGTATGACAACGTGCATTAGCTTTAGTTTTTAAAAATACCCATTCAAGTAGTTAAGCTTTAAGGAAGCCTTTGAGAGGAAGAGTTCTCCTTCTGCACTGCCTTGCTAACTACAACTCAGTCACGTTGGCTAGATCCCTCAAGGTTACTTAGAGACCTTCATGCTTCTGTTGCCTGCCACTTTTAATACCATCCTAGACATACACTTTACCTCCCCAGCCTGATGCCAGATACGTTGATGCTGCAATTGCAAGGCTGGCTTTGCATTTTACTAAGCTCTATTTTGATTAGGCCACGGTTTCTAGAATAAGTCACATCAACATAAAATACAACTTGCAAGCCACAAGAGCAAGTTCATAGAATAGGCTAAGCCACAAGCAAGCACACCACGTACTGCTTTGAGTAGCATCTCAATCTAGCTGCTGGATTTCTAATATGTCTAAGAGCCCTTCGGTTGGGGAGACCCCCTTTGCAGAGAGATTCACCCTTTATTTTTATGCCGTTATGCACTGAGAACACGGACTTGGAAAGATGCTGATTGTACCTATCTGACATTGGAAGCTTAACAGAGTCGGGGCTCGTTCGTATTTGGATTGAGGACCACCAGGAAACCCGGGGCTGTGAGGGACAAAGACATCTCGGAGAAAAGCAGCGGCCACCCCCATCCCTACCACCGCCAAGAAAACTGCATGGACGTGCCAGCCGTCACCAGGAGTCGGGCTCGACTCCAGAGCCATGTTACCCAGATCTAAAGGAAGGACGGGGCGCGCCTCGGGGACCTCCTTTCGCCCAAGCCCAGCCGGAAAGCGGGGAGGGCATGGAGCGTGAAGGTGGGTGGCCACAGCAGCCCGCTCCATCCTCTTCCCCCCCAATGCCCTCTTGGAGGGAAGAAAGGAGCTGACGCGACAGGGCTGAAGTGACACGCCGCCGTCCTCCGGGGACGGGGAAGCACGCGCAGGAGCAGCTGCGGGAGGGCGTCGCGGGGGTCCGCGGCGCCCCCTCCTTCTCCGTTGCTTTTTCGGGGCACCTCACCTCCCCACTCCCATTGCTCGGGACACCGCCGGCGCGGCTGGGAAGCTGAAGCGGAAAGGAGACCCTCGGCTCTTCTCGCGAGAAGGGAGTTCGAGCGCGGCCTAGAGATAGAAACGTTTAGAGCGCCCCAGGCTCCGTTGCTGAGTGGTGGTTTCGTACCTGAATGTCTCAGGAAGCTCTTTCGTAAGTTTGCCGCATCTGGGCTGCAGAGAGAAGGGGAATCCCTTAGATGGCCTCCAATGGAGACCGAAAACTCTTTGCTGCCGTTTAATGTTCGTTCGGCTTTTTGTAATTCGCAGACGGAGGAGTCCTGATTTTTAGCTGTTGGGAAAATAAGTGCCTTCATCTCTCCTACATAATAAGGAAGCTGTTGAAAAGACTCTATAAAACTTAAGGTAGAAAAAGCAGCGGGTTGTTTTTTTTTTAAAGGATGTTTAGGCGATAAAAGCTTTCTTCTGTTAACTGCAGCTTCCTTTTTTTTCTGTGGTTTGCATGCTTGCTGCTTACCCCGGAAGGGAATAGTGTGATTGGTATGCATCTTTGTTTAGGAAGTGCTGCTCTCTATTGTTCCTATCTCTACAGACAGATACTGGTTTCTTAGTAACTGCCCTCCTTTCTGTCCAATCCACGCTTCCTCTGTTGCCTTCCGCGAGCCAGTACCTTCTATCATTCAAACTAGGACCAATTAAAAGCCGCCGGGCTGTGCAAGGGCGGGTTCAATTTTTTAAAGGGTTGGGTAGTGTGGCTAACACTAACACAAAGAGGAAAGGCGAAATATAAATCAAATAAATAAATCCGCACTCTCTTTTTTAAGCAAGTCGTTTAATCATAACATTAAGAGGAAGAAACATCAATACCCTGTGCTATGCTGATGACACTAGTTTGCCAGCTGAAAATGTAAAGAGTCTAGAAATAAAACTGAAGGAGCAAAGTGAAAAAATGGGGCTAAAATTAGATACTGTATAGAGAAGACCGAACTAATGACAACAGATACAACAACCAGCCTTAGAATTGGCAATGAAGATATCAAAGTGGTGGATAGCTTCTGCCTTTTAGAATTAACCATTAACAGTAAAGGAACAAGCAGTCAAGAAATACGCCACAGACTAGCACTCGGGTAGAGCAGCCATGAAGACCTTGGAAAAGATATTCAAATGCTGTGATCTGTCCATACCTAGAAAGATCAGAATTGTGCAAGCTGTGGTATTCCCTGTGATGCTCTATGGAAGTGAAAGTTGGACTTTGAAGAAGCAAGATAGGAAGAGTATTGACACTTTTGAACTTTGGTGTTGGAGAAGACTCCTGAGAATACCATGGACAGCCAAGGAAACAAACCGATGGATCATCAAACAAATCAGCCCAGAGTTCTTACCTGAGGCACAAATAACCAGGCTCAAATTACTTTGAAGAAGCAAGATAGGAAGAGTATTGACACTTTTGAACTTTGGTGTTGGAGAAGACTCCTGAGAATACCATGGACAGCCAAGGAAACAAACCGATGGATCATCAAACAAATCAGCCCAGAGTTCTTACCTGAGGCACAAATAACCAGGCTCAAATTATCCTACTTCGGCCACATTATGTGAAGACTCAGCTTCCTGGAAAAGGCTCTAATGTTGGGAAATGTGGAAAAAAAGAGAAGCAGAGGACAACCAGCAGCAAGTGGATGGACCCAGTTATGGTGGCGATGAGTGCACTATTGAGAGACTCAGAAGAATGGGTTAGGGATAGATTGTCATGGGAAAAAAAATCTATTTATGTGGTTGCTAGGAGTTGAAAACGACTTGATGGAACATAATCAAATCAATCATAACAAACTGCCCTATTAATTACAATATTACTCCTCATGCCTAACTTTGACTGCTATTCCATTATCAGCAACAACAATAATAATTTTGAAATGCAGCATTGAAATTAAAAAGAAGAGAGAAGCGCTGATTAATAATAATATTTCAAACAATTCAAACAGGTGATAAAGTAACTTGTACTTACACTGCATTCTTTACCAAGATCTCACCTTTGGTTAGAGGAACACAGAGAACCATCTGTATTTCTTATTATCTTGAAAAAGAACTCTAATCCTCAATAAAGAATTGTTCCTTGAAATATTAGGGAAGTGGCACATTCAGAAAGAAGACGGTCAAAAATAATTCCTTCTACTGAGTGGTAGCATCAAATGCCTTGCAGGAAGAATCCCAAAATGTATGTATGGATAGCTAGCTAGCTAGCTAGATTTTATTTATTATTATAGACATTACTTTTAAGCCATTTTGATAAGAATTGTGTCTTGAAAGGTTACAATGGTAAGAATTGGAAGAATAAATACATTTTGTGCTTGGATTGGATTAAGTAATAGCCTTGTTGGAATTGCTGTCTTTGAAGATAGCAAGATATGTGAGATATCTGTGGCAGCTTTGGAAGAAATGTCCAGTCCGTCCAAAGCTCTTTGTGTTGGAAATGTGGATTCAGTGGCACTAACTCTCCAACTGTTCATGACCTACTGACCGCCAATACCTTTTGTTGCTTGTTAGACATGTTTATCAAATTGGTAGATGTAACACATGGACAGGCAATTCCCCGGCCCACATTCAATGACAGCCAGCAGCATCTGAGTTTCAATACACATCAAAGCTGACTGAGGCATGGAAGAGTACCTGCCCCTCCGTTTCTTTATGTACAGGAAAAAAAAATGTTTCTATTTTAAAACAAAGGGAAAAGCTCAGTATAGAGCCTAGGAAAAGGAGAGAAGTAATATCCCTCTGGAGAGACAGTTTGGTGCAGTGGTTAAAGGTGCTGGACTAGAACAAGGAAATTTTTTTATTCCTCCCTTAGGCACAAAAACCAGCTGGGTAACTTGGACCAGTTTCTCTTAGCCCTAGGAAGAAGTTGCTGGCAAACTACTTCTGAAATATTGCTAAGAAAACTGCGTGTCTCTTTTTCCTCCTGCAATATCTTGAGATTGGTTTCCAATCAGTGTTTTGGCATGCAATAACAGATTAAATTCTGATGTCTTTTAGCTTCTAGCCAATTCTAATGCTAGCTGTAGATGACTGTGGATGACTTTATTGACTTTGGAAGAACTGGAGCAGCACAAGGCAGTTTCTTGCAGGACATTAATTTGGTTCTCTACCTCTGATATTGCATTTTGCGATGGCAATTTTGGTCTTGCTTTTAAAAGCTTTCTTGAGAGTTAATTCTTTTCAGAAGTTTGTAAATTCTTCAGAAAGGAGCTGGCACTATTTGTAGCTGAGCTGGAGCTGGCTCAAATCTTGTTGGAGCAGTCTTTCAACTTGAGAAAGGCTTTGAAAATATTGAAAATATGTTTAATCTGATTTAGGCTCTGTCTGGATTCTCCTGAAATCCAGAGATTTGTCTCTGGCCTTTTGAGACAATGTGATAGACTGTTTAGTGCTTAGCTAGGCCTGGGGCAGGGGCTTCTCTTTATTTTTGGCTTCAGCAGGCTGGAGGACTTCATCTGTAGGCCTTAGTTCTGCCACAATGACCTGTAATGAACGATTAACTTGTAAAACTATATCAGAGGTAGCTTTAATTAGTCCTGGGTGTCACTGGATGGAGTTGCTCAAGGAACTTACTTTAGCTGCATTTCTGAAGCAGGCTGCAGACTTCATTAGATGTTGTCCAGAAGGGCCTGACTGTAATACTCTGTTCTTCCCTATGCCCATGGATCCCGGATAGGCCACAACCACCTGAACTGCAAATTGAACCTCCTTCAATCACCCTCTTATCTTTCCACCTTCTATCTCACTCTTTCTTCATTTTGCTATACAGAGATGTTAATGAAGAATTTTCTGGAAGAACCAGTCTTTGCTATAATCTTCCTATGAAATGCCACTTCTTTGTTTTTAACGTCCTGAATAGTAGACAGTATGATCTTTTGACCCAAAGTGTCAAATCTCAGTCCATTCCAATTTGCTGATGCCTAAAATACCAATGTATAGTTGATTCATTTAATCTTTCACATGCTTCTTATGAGCCATGCTCCCACTATAATTCTGTTTCTGCGGTGTTGGATTTTCTTTTCCTGCAGGGTAACATCAGTAACTAACTACATCATAAACACCATTAATACTTTGAAAGTGATGGGGACTGAATTTGATAGTGGACCTGAGTATGTGGAGGTTGTACCTGCATATGAAGACATGGGGGGGTGGGTAGCATATGAGAATGTGTGCATCTGTGACAGAAACTGTGTTCAG